GGGGGCAGCCCCTGCAGGGGCATTGAAGGGTGCATGCTCTGGGGTGGGGGCTGCAGGGGGGTGCAGATGAGGATGCAGACAAGGATGCAGGTGGGATACAGGTCAGGATGCAGGGTGGGATGCAGACAAGGATGCAGGATGGGATGCAGGCAGGATCCAGGTCAGGATGCAGTGTGGGATGCAGGTGGGATGCACACAAGGATGCAGGATGTGATGCAGGATGGGATGCAGACAAGGATGCAGGTGGGATGCAGACGGGATGCAGGATGGGATGCAGGTGAGGATGCAGGTGAGGATGCAGGGTGGGATGCAGGGTGGGATGCAGGGTGGCATGCCGACAAGGATGCAGACAAGGATGCAGGTGGGATGCAGGAGGGGATGCAGGGGGGATGCAGGGGGGATGCAGGTGAGGATGCAGGTGGGATGCAGGTCAGGATACAGACAAGGATGCAGGTGGGATGCAGGTCAGGATGCCGGGTGGGATGCAGGTGGGATGCAGGTCAGGATGCAGGATGCGACGCCAGGACCCCCGCTCCCATCCGCACCTTCCCTGTGTCCGGTGCCAGGTCCAGGGCATTGATCCAGCGCGCGTGGGCATTGACCTGGGCCCGCAGCCGCCCGCTCGCCGCCTCGTAGAGCCGGATCTGCCCGTTCCCGAAGCCGGCGGCCACCGTCCCCTGCCACAGCGCCACGGAGGAGCAGGTGCAGCTGGGAACGGGACGGGGTCACCCCATGGACCCCCCATCCCACCCCATAGCCCCCACCCCATCCCCATCCCATCCCCATCCCCAACCCCATCCCATCCCACCCCATCCCCACCCCATCCCCATCCCATCCCCATCCCCATCCCCATCCCATCCCCATCCCCATCCCATCCCATCCCCATCCCATCCCATCCCCATCCCCATCCCATCCCCATCCCCATCCCCATCCCCATCCCATCCCCATCCCCATCCCCATCCCCATCCCCATCCCATCCCCATCCCCATCCCATCCCATCCCATCCCCATCCCCATCCCCATCCCATCCCATCCCCCCCCGGGGCTCACCCGCAGGCAGGGACCCTGCTCAGCAGCCGGAACTCCTCACCCGAGCTCCACACGCACAGGGCCCCGGCGTCATCGGCGCTCACCAGGTCCCCGGCCCCATCCTGCAGGGCAGGGGCAGGGGCAGGGGCAGCATCAGCACAAGGCACCCCCTGCCCCATTGCTGCCGGGCACAGCCAGGCCTGGGTCCAGTTTAACCAGGGAGTGGGGAGGGTACCAGAGCCTGCGCCCCAACACACTCATGGTGGGATGCAGGTGTAGGGATGCAGGTGTAGGGATGCTGATGTAGGGATGCAGATGTAGGGATGCAGGTGTAGGGATGCAGGTGTAGGGATGCAGGTGTAGGGATGCTGATGTAGGGATGCAGATGTAGGGATGCAGGTGTAGGGATGCTGATGTAGGGATGCAGGTGTAGGGATGCAGGTGTAGGGATGCAGGTGTAGGGATGCTGATGTAGGGATGCTGATGTAGGGATGCAGATGTAGGGATGCAGGTGTAGGGATGCTGATGTAGGGATGCAGGTGTAGGGATGCAGGTGTAGGGATGCTGATGCAGGGACTAGGTTAGGGATGCAGGTGTAGGGATGCTGATGTAGGGATGCAGGTGTAGAGGATGCTATGCAGGGATGCAGGTGTAGGGATGCAGGTGTAGGGATGCTGATGTAGGGATGCTGATGTAGGGATGCTGATGTAGGGATGCAGATGTAGGGATGCAGGTGTAGGGATGCAGGTGTAGGGATGCAGGTGTAGGGATGCTGATGCAGGGATGCTGATGTAGGGATGCAGGTGTAGGGATGCAGGTGTAGGGATGCAGGTGTAGGGATGCAGGTGGAGGGATGCAGATGTAGGGATGCAGGTGCAGGGATGCTGATGTAGGGATGCAGATGTAGGGATGCAGGTGTAGGGATGCTGATGTAGGGATGCAGGTGTAGGGATGCAGGTGTAGGGATGCAGGTTAGGGATGCAGGTGTAGGGATGCAGGTGCAGGGATGCAGATGTAGGGATGCAGGTGTAGGGATGCTGATGTAGGGATGCAGGTGCAGGGATGCAGGTGCAGGGATGCTGATGTAGGGATGCAGGTGTAGGGATGCAGGTGTAGGGATGCAGGTGCAGGGATGCAGGTGTAGGGATGCAGGTGTAGGGATGCAGGTGTAGGGATGCTGATGTAGGGATGCTGATGTAGGGATGCAGGTGTAGGGATGCAGGTGTAGGGATGCAGGTGTAGGGATGCTGGTGTAGGGATGCAGGTGTAGGGATGCAGGTGTAGGGATGCTGATGTAGGGATGCTGGTGTAGGGATGCAGGTGTAGGGATGCAGGTGTAGGGATGCAGGTGTAGGGATGCAGGTGTAGGGATGCAGGTGTAGGGATGCTGATGGAGGGATGCAGATGTAGGGATGCAGGTGTAGGGATGCTGATGTAGGGATGCAGGTGTAGGGATGCAGGTGTAGGGATGCAGGTGTAGGGATGCAGGTGTAGGGATGCAGGTGTAGGGATGCTGATGCAGGGATGCAGGTGCAGGGGCTTGGATGCTCCAGTGGAAGGGGTTGGGGTTGGAGCTGGGGGAGCTTTCAGCTCCCTTCAACCCCGCTCTGGGTCTACCCTATGGCTGCAGGGCAGCTCCAGGGGACCCAGGCTCCATCCCAGGCTCACCGGGAGCCTCTCAGGGGAAGTGGAGCTGGGAAGGGGTCAGTGATGAGGAGCCCCATTGGTGCCTGTGAGGGGGGACAGGAGATGCACTGGGGGCAGCCCCGTCCCGGTGCTGGACCACACCTGAACAGCGCATCCCAGGCTGCAGCACTCGGCCTGATGGATCCCAATGCATCCCAATGCATCCCAATGGATGCCAATGGATGCCAATGGATCCCAATGGATCCCAATGGATGCCAATGGATCCCAATGGATCCCAATGGATGCCAATGGATCCCAATGGATCCCAATGGATGCCAATGGATCCCAATGGATCCCAATGGATGCCAATGGATCCCAATGGGTACCAATGGATCCCAATGGATGCCAATGGATGCCAATGGATCCCATGGATGCCAATGGGTACCAATGGATGCCAATGGATCCCATGGATGCCAATGGGTACCAATGGATGCCAATGGGTACCAATGGATGCCAATGGATCCCAATGGATCCCATGGATGCCAATGGATCCCAATGCATCCCAATGGATCCCAATGGATGCCAATGGATGCCAATGCATCCCAATGGATCCCGATGGATGCCAATGGATGCCAATGGATGCCAATGCATCCCAATGGATGCCAATGGATGCCAATGGCCGCCAATGGATGCCAATGCATCCCAATGGATGCCAATGGTTGCCAATGGATGCCAATGGATGCCAATGCATCCCAATGGATGCCAATGGATGCCAATGGATGCCGATGGATCCCAATGGATGCCAATGGATCCCAATGGATCCCAATGGATGCCAATGGATCCCAATGGATCCCAATGGATCCCAATGGATCCCAATGGATCCCAATGGATCCCAATGGATGCCAATGGATCCCAATGCATCCCAATGGATGCCAATGGATCCCAATGGATCCCAATGGATCCCAATGGATGCCAATGGATGCCAATGGATCCCAATGGATGCCAATGGATCCCAATGCATCCCAATGGATCCCAATGGATCCCAATGCATCCCAATGGATCCCAATGCAGCCCAATGGATCCCAATGGATCCCAATGGATCCCAATGGATCCCAATGGATCCCAATGGATCCCAATGGATCCCAATGCATCCCAATGGACCCAATGGACCCAATGGATGCCCTGAGCGCTACCGGCGCCCCCGGCACCTACCGGGGCCTGGCCCTGCTCTGCGGCGATGTCGGTGACGGCGGCCCCGTGCCCCTGCAGGACCTGGCTCAGGGCCACGTTGGAGCCTTTGGGGGGGACGTCAAACACCAGCACCGGCCCCGAGGACGTCCCTGTGGTAGGGGGGGGATGGGACACAGAGACACCAGTGCCAGCACTGCCCTATGGACACCGAGCATCCCTCCCTATGGACACCCTGCATCCCCGCATCCTCCCCTATGGACACCCTGCATCCCTGCATCCTCCCCTATGGACACCCTGCATCCCCGCATCCTCCCCTATGGACACCCTGCATCCCTGCATCCTCCCCTATGGACACCCTGCATCCCTGCATCCTCCCCTATGGACACCCTGCATCCCCGCATCCTCCCCTATGGACACCCTGCATCCCTGCATCCTCCCCTATGGACACCCTGCATCCCTGCATCCTCCCCTATGGACACCCTGCATCCCTGCATCCTCCCCTATGGACACCCTGCATCCCTGCATCCTTCCCTATGGACACCCTGCATCCCTGCATCCTTCCCTATGGACACCCTGCATCCCTGCATCCTCCCCATGTACACCCTGCATCCCTGCATCCTCCCCTATGGACACCCTGCATCCCTGCATCCTCCCCTATGGACACCCTGCATCCCTGCATCCTTCCCTATGGACACCCTGCATCCCTGCATCCTTCCTATGGACACCCTGCATCCCTGCATCCTCCCCATGGAGACTGCAACCCCTCATTTCTGTATGGACACCCTGCATCCCTGCATCCTCCTCTGATGGCACCCTGTCCCTTTGGCGCATCCTCCCCTATGGACACCCTGCATCCCTGCATCCTTCCCTATGGACACCCTGCATCCCTGCATCCTCCCCTATGGACACCCTGCATCCCTGCATCCTCCCCTATGGACACCCTGCATCCCTGCATCCTCCCCTATGGACACCCTGCATCCCCGCATCCCTCCCTATGGACACCCTGCATCCCTGCATCCTCCCCTATGGACACCCTGCATCCCTGCATCCTTCCCTATGGACACCCCGCATCCTCCCCTATGGACACCCTGCATCCCTGCATCCTTCCCTATGGACACCCTGCATCCCTGCATCCTCCCCTATGGACACCCTGCATCCCTGCATCCTCCCCTATGGACACCCTGCATCCCTGCATCCTCCCCTATGGACACCCTGCATCCCCGCATCCTTCCCTATGGACACCCTGCATCCCTGCATCCTCCCCATGGACACCCTGCATCCCTGCATCCTTCCCTATGGACACCCTGCATCCCTGCATCCTTCCCTATGGACACCCTGCATCCCTGCATCCTCCCCTATGGACACCCTGCATCCCTGCATCCTCCCCTATGGACACCCTGCATCCCCGCATCCTCCCCATGGAGCACCCTGCATCCCCGCATCCCTCCCTATGGACACCCTGCATCCCTGCATCCTTCCATGGACACCCTGCATCCCTGCATCCTTCCCTATGGACACCCTGCATCCCTGCATCCTCCCCTATGGACACCCTGCATCCCCGCATCCTCCCCTATGGACACCCTGCATCCTTCCCTATGGACACCCTGCATCCTCCCCTATGGACACCCTGCATCCCTGCATCCTTCCCTATGGACACCCTGCATCCCCGCATCCTCCCCTATGGACACCCTGCATCCCCGCATCCTCCCCTATGGACACCCTGCATCCCTGCATCCTCCCCTATGGACACCCTGCATCCCTGCATCCTCCCCTATGGACACCCTGATCGATCCTCCCATGGACACCCTGCTCCCGTACCTCCCCATGGACACCCTGCTCCCTGCACCTCCCTATGGACACCCTGCATCCCCGCATCCTCCCCTATGGACACCCTGCATCCCTGCATCCCCTATGGACACCCTGCATCCCTGCATCCTCCCCTATGGACACCCTGCATCCCCGCATCCTGCATCCCTGCATCCTCCCCTATGGACACCCTGCATCCCCGCATCCTCCCCTATGGACACCCTGCATCCCCGCATCCTCCCCTATGGACACCTCCCCTATGGACACCCTGCATCCCTGCATCCTCCCCTATGGACACCCTGCATCCCTGCATCCTTCCCTCCCTATGGACACCCTGCATCCCTGCATCCTTCCCTATGGACACCCTGCATCCCTGCATCCTCCCCTATGGACACCCTGCATCCCTGTTCTATGGACACCCTGCATCCCTGCATCCTCCCCTATGGACACCCTGCATCCCCGCATCCTCCCCTATGGACACCCTGCATCCCTGCATCCTCCCCGCATCCTCCCTATGGACACCGCATCCCGCATCCTCCCCATGGACCCCTATCCCTGCATCCTCCCTATGGACACCCTGCATCCCTGCATCCTCCCCTATGGACACCCTGCATCCCCGCATCCTCCCCTATGGACACCCTGCATCCCTGCATCCTTCCCTATGGACACCCTGCATCCCTGCATCCTCCCCTATGGACACCCTGCATCCCTGCATCCTCCCCTATGGACACCCTGCATCCCTGCATCCTCCCTACACCCTGCATCCCTGCATCCTCCCCTATGGACACCCTGCATCCCTGCATCCTCCCCTATGGACACCCTGCATCCCTCGCACCTCCCCATGGACACCCTGCATCCCTGCATCCTCCCCTATGGACACCCTGCATCCCTGCATCCTCCCCTATGGACACCGGTTTGTGTTATGGCACCCTGCATCCCCGCATCCTCCCCTATGGACACCCTGCATCCCTGCATCCTCCCCTATGGACACCCTGCATCCCTGCATCCTCCCCTATGGACACCCTGCATCCCCGCATCCTCCCCTATGGACACCCTGCATCCCTGCATCCTCCCCTATGGACACCCTGCATCCCTGCATCCTCCCCTATGGACACCCTGCATCCCTGCATCCTCCCCTATGGACACCCTGCATCCCTGCATCCTCCCCTATGGACACCCTGCATCCTCCCCTATGGACACCCTGCATCCCCGCACCTCCCCTATGGACACCGCATCCCTGCATCCTCCCCTATGGACACCCTCATCCCTGCACCTTCCCTATGGACACCCTGCATCCCTGCATCCTCCCCTATGGACACCCTGCATCCCCGCATCCTCCCCTATGGACACCCTGCATCCCTGCATCCTCCCCTATGGACACCCTGCATCCCTGCATCCTCCCCTATGGACACCCTGCATCCCTGCATCCTCCCCTATGGACACCCTGCATCCCTGCATCCTCCCCTATGGACACCCTGCATCCCTGCATCCTTCCCTATGGACACCCTGCATCCCCGCATCCTCCCCTATGGACACCCTGCATCCCTGCATCCCTGCATCCCTGCATCCCCCCCTCTGCCCCCCCGTGCTCCCTCTCACCCACGCAGATGAATCGCTCTCCGGCTGCAGCGATCCCACGGGCAAACAGGGCTTGTGCTGCAAGGAAGCCGGGAGCTGGTTACACTGGGAACTGGGAGCACTGGGGGCACTGGGAACCGGTTACACTCGGAACCAGTTACACTGGGAGCACTGGGAACCACTCATACTGGGAGCACTGGGAACCCGTCACACTGGGAGCACTGGGAACCGGTCACACTGGGAACCGTTTACACTGGGAGCACTGGGAACCGTTCACACTGGGGGCACTGGGAACCAGTAACACCGGGGGCATTGGGAACCGGTCACACTGGGAGCACCGGAAACCAGTCACACTAGGGGACAAGGAACCAGTCACACTGGGGGCACTGGGAGCTGGTTACACCAGGGTACAGGGATCCGGTCACACTGGGGGTACTGGGATCCAGTCACACTGGGAGCACTGGGAACCAGTCACACCGGGAGCACTGGGAACCGGTCACTGGGAGCACTGGGAATTGGTCACACCGGGGGCACTGGGATCTGGTCATACTGGGAGCACTGGGAACCGGTCACTGGGAGCACTGGGATCCGGTCATACTGGGAGCACTGGGAACCGGCCCCCCCCGCAGCGTTACCGGGAGGCTGCTCCAGTGCTTCCAGTCCGTGCCAGTAAACCAGGGCGGAGCCGTCGGCCTCGTACATCTGCAGGGGACCGGAACCAGTGTGAGGGCCGGGGGGGGCACTGGTCCCAGTGTGGTCCCTGCTGCACCCAGTGATGGGGGGGGGGAGGGGATGGGGGCCCCTTTGGGCAAGGAACCCCATGGGGAAGCCGAGGGGGGATGGGCACCAGTTACTGCTGGGGGGATTCCCAATGGACCCAAGGGGGAAACCGTGCCCAGTGGGAACAATGGGACTGGAACCGGTCCCAGCAGCACCCAGCATGGTTCAGACTGGGACGTGCTGGGACGTGCTGGGACGTGCTGGGACGTACTGGGACGCGCTGGGACGCGCTGGGATGCGCTGGGACGTGCTGGGACATGCTGGGACGTGCTGGGATGCACTGGGACGTACTGGGACGTGCTGGGACGTACTGGGACGTGCTGGGACGTGCTGGGACGTACTGGGACGTACTGGGACATGCTGGGACGTGCTGGGACGTGCTGGGACGTGCTGGGACGTGCTGGGATGTACTGGGACATGCTGGGACGTACTGGGACGTACTGGGACATACTGGGACGTGCTGGGACGTGCTGGGACGTACTGGGACGTGCTGGGACATACTGGGACATACTGGGACATACTGGGATGCACTGGGACACCCGGGCGCGGTGACGCTGAGCATGGGAAGGGTGCAACAGGGATCCGGAGCTGGGGTTTTGGGTTCTGGGGTTCATTTATGGACCCCCCCCCCCCCCATGGGGCCGCCGCACCTGGATCCCCCCCATGGGGCCCCCGCACCTGGATCCCCCCCATGGGCCCCCCGCACCTGGATCCCCCCCCATGGGGCCCCCGCACCTGGATCCCCCCCCCTGGGGCCCCCGCACCTGGATCCCCCCCCATGGGACCCCCGCACCTGGATCCCCCCCCATGGGGCCCCCGCACCTGGATCCCCCCCCATGGGACCCCCGCACCTGGATCCCCCCCCATGGGGCCCCCGCACCTGGATCCCCCCACGGGGCCCCCCCCCCCCCCCCCCCATGGGGCCCCCGCACCTGGATCCCCCCCCATGGGGCCCCCGCACCTGGATCCCCCTGTGGGAAGTGAGCACCAGCAGCACCCGGGAGGGCAGAGGGCACCAGGCAGCCTGCGGGGAGAGGGAGATGGGGGGGTACTGGGAGGGGGGCACTGGGATGGGGATGGGGGGCACTGGGATGGGGGCACTGGGATGGGGACATGGGGATGGGGACACTGGGATGGGGACACTGGGATGGGGACACTGGGATGGGGACACTGGGATGGGGACACTGGGATGGGGACACTGGGATGGGGACACTGGGAGGGGGACAATGGGGGGAGGATACGGGGCAGGGGACACGGGGGAGGGGTCACGGGGCAGGGGTCACGGGTCAGGGGTCACGGGTCAGAGCCCTCCCTCCTCCCGCAGCCCCCCCCACCCTCCGGCCCGTACCTGGGTGAGCAGCGCGGGGCTGGGGCCGGAGCCGGGCTCCCGGGCCGGGAGCTGCCGCTGGGAGAGGCCGAGGCCGGCGGCGGCGCTGAGGAGGCTGAGGCTGGGCCCGTGCACGGCGCTGAAGCGGTGGAGCTGGGCCGCGGGCGGGCGGGCCCGGAGCACGCTGAGGTTGTTGTAGAGCGCGGCGCTGCTGCCGGGCAGGGGCAGGCTCTGCTCCCGCCGGTACCTGCGCACCGGGCACCGGCAGCTCCGGCCAACGGGCTCCTGACGAGCACAGCCGAGCCGAGCCGAGCCAAGCCGAGCCGGGCCGGGCCGGGCCGGGCCGAGCCGAGCCGAGCCGAGCCCAGCCGAACCCAGCCGAGCCGAGCCGAACCCAGCCCAGCCGAGCCGAGCCGAGCCGAGCCGAACCCAGCCCAGCCGAGCCGAGCCGAGCCGAGCCGAGCCGAGCCGAGCCGAGCCGAGCCGAGCCGAGCCCAGCCGAACCGAGCCCAGCCGAACCGAGCCGAGCCCAGCCCAGCCGAGCCGAGCCGAGCCGAGCCCAGCCGAGCCGAGCCGAACCTAGCCGAGCCCAGCCGAGCCGAGCAGAGCCGAACCCAGCCCAGCAGAACCCAGCCGAACCCAGCCCAGCAGAACCCAGCCGAACCCAGCCCAGCCGAACCCAGCCGAGCCCAGCCGAACCGAGCCCAGCCGAGCCCAGCCGAGCCCAGCCGAACCGAGCCCAGCCGAGCCGAGCCCAGCCGAACCGAGCTCAGCCGAGCAGAGCTGAGCCCAGCCGAACCGAGCCCAGCCCAGCCCAGCCGAGCCGAACCCAGCCGAGCCCAGCCGAACCGAGCCCAGCCGAGCCCAGCCCAGCCGAGCCGAACCCAGCCCAGCCGAGCAGAGCCCAGCCGAGCCGAGCCGAACCCAGCCGAGCCGAGCCGAGCCGAGCCGCGCCGCGCACCGGGACCCCCCCGCTCCCGTTCCCGGGTCCCTCCCGCACTCTCCGTTCCCGTCCCTACCCCGGATTCCCCACCAGGATCCCCCCCTTCCTGTACCCGGCCCTCGTCTCCTTCCCCCTTCCCGTCACCGGTTCCCCGCTCCCGGCCCGGTTCCCGTCACCGGTTCCCCACCTTCCCACTCCGGGGTTCCCCCGTCCCGGCCACGTTCCCGGGTTCCCCCCGGGACCCCTTGTTCCCGTTCCCGGGTTCCCCTTCCCCGGCTTCCCCGCTCCCGTTCCTGGCTCTCCACCGGAACCCTCGTTCCCGGTTCTCCCCCGGGATCCCCGTTCCCGTGTTCCCTGTCCCCGTCTCCGTTCCCGTTCCGGGTCCCCCTCCTGGACCCCCCCGACCCCGTCCCCGGCCCCGTTCCTGTTCCCGGCCCTGCTCACTCGCTGACGGCCGCAGCCATGGAGACGGCGACGCTGCGTGAGGAGGCAGAGGGCGGTGCGCCGAGGTGACGTCACCGCGCACTGTGCGTCAGGGGGCGGAGCCAAAGTTACCATGGAGACAGAGACGCGTCCGGCGGCCGGGCGGATGGGAGAGGTGGGGAGGGCCGGGGAGCAATGGGATGGACTGGGATGTACTGGGGTGTGCTGGGATGTACTGGGATGTACTGCGGTGTGCTGGGATGTACTGGGGTGTGCTGGGGTATGCTGGGGTGTGCTGGGATGTACCGGGATGCCCTGGGATATACCGGGATGTACTGGGATGCACTGGGATGCCCTGGGATGTACCGGGATGTACTGGGATGCACTGGGATGCAGTGGGATGTACCGGGATGTACTGGGATGCACTGGGATGCACTGGGATATACTGGGATGCCCTGGGATGCACCGGGATGCACTGGGATGTACTGGGACGCACTGGGACACACTGGGGTGTAGTGGGATATACTGGGATGTACTGGGACGCACTGGGACGCACTGGGATGCACTGGGATATACTGGGATGCCGTGGGATGCACTGGGATGTACTGGGATGCACTGGGATGCACCGGGATGCACTGGGATGCCCTGGGATGTACTGGGATGCACTGGGATATACTGGGATGCCCTGAGATGCACCGGGATGCACCAGGATGTACTGGGATGCACTGGGATGTACTGGGATGGAACTGGGATGTACTGGGATGCACTGGGACGCACTGGGATATACTGGGATGCCGTGGGATGCACTGGGATGTACTGGGACGCACCGGAACGTACCGGGATGCACTGGGATGTACTGGGATGCACTGGGATGTACTGGGATGCACTGGGATGGAACTGGGACACACTGGGACGCACTGGGATGCGCTGGTGCCCGTGCCCCCACACCCTCTCTGTCTCCCCCCCCCCAGAAGGCCCCATCCCGGGAGCGCGCGGCCCCGGCCCGGCCTCGCGGGGCTCGGTCCCGGCCCCCCCCCGGCTCCGCCCCCCCGGGCCCGTGGCTGCAGCGCGCGGACAGCGCCGTGGGGGGGCTCCTGCGGGAGCTGCTGCAGCGCGTGCGGGACCGGGGCGGGAGCGGCAGGGCCCGGAGGGAGGTGAGGGGGGAACGGGGGGGGGACGGGGGGAGGGGGGGGACCGGGGGATGGGGGGATGGAGGGGGGGGATCGGGGGGGGGACATGGGGGGACATGGGGGGACCGGGGGGCACCGGGGGGGCCGGGGGGGGACCGGGAGGGGAACATGGGGGGACTGGGGACGGGGGGACCGGGGGGACCAGGGGAACGGGGGACGGGGGGACCGGGGGGGGCCAGGGGGGGGATCGGGGGGGGGACATGGGGGGACAGGGGGGACCGGGGGGGACGGGGGGGGGCCAGGGAGGGGACCGGGAGGAGACTGGGGGGGGACATGGGGGGACTGGGGGGGGGGGACAGGGGGGGACCGGGGGGGGCCGGGGGGGCACCGGGGGGGGGGCCGGGGGGGACCGGGGGGGGGACGGGAGGGGACAGAGCGGGGGGTGACCGAGCGGGACCGGGGGGGGAACACCGGGGGGACCGGGAGGGGACCCGGGGGGGGACCGGGGGGCGACGGAAGGGGACCGGGGGGGAGGACCCGGGGGGGGCACCGAGGGGGGACCGGGGGGGTCCCAATGGGGAAGGCTCAGGGGGCCCTGATGGGTGCCTCCAATGGGGCCGGAGCCTGGATGGAGCCAAGGCCCAAGGGCTGGGAGCAGAGGAACCGGGCTCCGGCTGCCCCAGGGCAGGCTCAGATGGGGCTGAGGGGGCTCCGGCACTGGAACAGGCTGGGCTGCAGGCACCGGCCCTGCCCCAGTGCCACGGGTTGGGGGTGCCCTGGGCAGCGCTGGGGGCAGGGTTGGGCCTGGGGGGCTTGAAGGGGTTTTCCAGCCTGGCTGATTCCGTGGCTCTGTGGTTCTATGGCTCCATGGATCCAGGGTTCAATGGCCCCCTGGTTCCCTGGTTCCACTGCTCCCTGGTTCCCTGGCTCTATGATTCAATGGATCCATGGCTCCATGATTCCATGGCTCTCCCCATCCCTGGTTCCCTGGCTCCATGGGTCCCTGACTCTGTGGTTCCCTGGCTCCATGATTCAATGGACCCCTGGATCTATGGCTCCATGATTCAATGGCTCCCTGGTTCCATGGCTCCCTGGTTCCCTGGCTCCAGGATTCAATGGTTCCCTGGCTCCAGGGTTAATGGCTCCCTGGCTCCCTGGTTCCTTGGCTCCATCATTCAATGGCTCCCTGCTTCCGTGGCTCCCTGGTCCCATGATTCAATGGCCCCCTGGTTCCTTGGCTCCATGGCTCAATGGATCCATGGTTCTTTGGCTCCATGATTCCATGGCTCTATGATTCAATGGCTCCATGGTTCAATGGATCCATGGCTCCATGATTCAGTGCCTCCCTGGTTCCCTGCATCCCTGGCTCCATCATTCAATGGCTCCCTCAATCCATGGCTTCATGGATCCCTGGTTCCCTGGTTCCACTGTTCCCTCAATCCATGGCTCCCTGGTTCCCTGGATCCATGGCTCCATGATTCCATGGCTCCCTGCTTCCACTGTTCCCTGGTTCCCTGGCTCCATGATTCAATGGATCCATGGCTCCAGGATTTAGTGGCTTCCTGGTTCCCTGCATCCCTGGCTCCATCATTCAATGGCCCCCTCAATCCATGGCTCCATGGTTCCCTGGTTCCACTGTTCCCTGGATCCATGGCTCCATCATTCAATGGCTCCCTGGATCCATGACTCCCTGGTTCCCTGGCTCCATCATTCAATGGCTCCCTGGATCCCTGGTTCCACTGTTCCCTGGTTCCTTGGCTCCATGGTTCAATGGCTCCATGGTTCCCTGGATCCATGGCTCCATCATTCCATGGCTCCCTGATTCAATGGCTCCCTTGATCCATGGCTCCATGATTCAGTGCCTCCCTGGTTCCACTGTTCCCTGATTCAGTGGCCCCATGGTTCCCTGGTTCCTTGGCTCCCTGATTCAACACCTCCCTGGCTCCATAGGTCCATGATTCCCTCTATCCCCGCCTCCCTGTCCCCGTTCCCCCATGGCCGCTCTCCCTGCAGGGGGTTCCCTTCACCGTGGGCCTCGCTCGGGCCGCGCTCCTGCAGGGGGCCCAGGGCCGCTTCCAGCCGCGGGACGAGGGGGGCCTGGCCCCGGCCGGGGAGGACGAGGAGCCCCGGCCCTGCCCCAGCGACCCCTGGGCGGGGGGCGCCGTCCCCGTGATGGGCCCCGGGCGCTGCCCCCCCGAGGTGAGGGCCCCATGGGGGGACCCCGCGGCTGCTCCCGGCCCCGGAGTGGGGCCTCGGCCCCATGGGGGTCCCCTAGGGGGGGTCCTCACCCCTCACCCCTTGACCCTCGACCCCCAGGGCCCTGCCCCGTGCCCCGCGCTTCCGCCTCGCCACCAGGACCCGGATGCGGCTGAGAATGGAGCCCCCCCAATGGAGCCCCCCGTTTCCGGTGATGCCCCCGGGGACAGCGGCAGCGGCACCGGCACCGCTCCGGGGATGGGGACGGGGACGGAGCCACCGCGGGACGAGGCCGCCGCCGCCGCCCGGTTCCAACAGCGCAAACCCGGAAGTGCGCAAGCGCCGGGGCCGCGGGGAGCCGCGCTCCGCCCCCCGGAGCCACCGGAACTGCCCCGGGACCAGGGGGGGAGCCCCGCGCTGTGGGCAGCGAGAGCCCCGCGCTGGGGGGGCTCCGCTTCCGGTTCCGGTTCCCCGCGTCCCGAGCGCTGGATCCGGATGCACGTGGAGGTGCGGGAGCCCGGAGCCGGGCGGCGGAGGCGGGGCCTGGAACTGAGCCCCCCCCGCCCGCACCGGAACCCGGAACCGAGCCCCCCCCGCCTGCACCGGAACCCGGAACCGAGCCCCCCTCGCCCGCACCGGGACCCGGAACCGAGCCCCCCCCGCCCGCACCGGAACCCGGAACCGAGCCCCCCCCGCCCGCACCGGAACCCGGAACCGAGCCCCCCCCGCCCGCACCGGGACCCGGAACCGAGCCCCCCCCGCCTGCCCCAGGCCCCGTTCCCCGCAGCCCGGTCCCAGCCCCGGCCCCTCCCCGGCTCCGCTCCGCGCCCGCTCCGTTCCCGGCTGGACCCGGATGGGGACCGGAAGCAGGACCCGGGGGAGCTGAGGCCCCTGAGCCCCAGCGCAGCCCCCGCTGTGATCGCGGCCGGGCGGGTAACGGGGGAGCGGGGAGCGCCCCATAAACCCCAATGGAGTTAATGCCCCCCCCCCCCACCTTCCGGCTACTGCGTCCTATGGGAGGAGCGGCCCCGAGGCCACGGGGATGGGCCCTTGGGTCCCTGCACCCAGAGCCCCGAGGCCACGGGGATGGGCCCTGGGGTCCCTGCACCCAGGCCTGAGGCCACGGGGATGGGCCCTTGGGTCCCTGCACCCAAAGCCACGGGGGTGGCCCCTTGGGTCCCTGCACCCAAAGGAACCACGGGGATGGGCCCTTGGGTCCCTGCACCCAAAGCCCCGAGGCCACGGGGATGGGCCCTTGGGTCCCTGCACCCCCAGCCCCTTGGAACCATGGGGCCGGGCCCCATTGCTGCTGCCCCATAGGGAGCCAGCCTTTGGCTGGGCCCCATTGCTGCTGCCCCATAGGGAGCCAGGCTTTGGCTGGGCCCCATTGCTGGTGCCCCATAGGGAGCCAGGCTTTGGCTGGGCCCCATTGCTGCTGCCCCATAGGGAGCCAGCCTTTGGCCCCATTGCTGCTGCTAGGGAGGGCTTTGGCTGGCCCCATTGCTCTGCCCCATAGGGAGCCAGGCTTTGGCTGGGCCCCATTGCTGTGCCATAGGGAGCCAGGCTTTGGCTGGGCCTGTGTGGGGGTTTGGTGTTGTGGTGGGGGGGTTTGGGTTGTGTGTGGGGGTTTTGTTGTGTGGGGGTTTGGTGTTGTGTGGGGGGTTGGCTGGGCCCCATTGCTGCTGCCCCATAGGGAGCCAGCCTTTGTGGGCCCCATTGCTGGTGCCCCATAGGGAGCCAGGCTTTGTGGGTTGTGTGTGGGGG